TTTTTTTTTTTTTACAATTTTAAATAAACGAAAAATAAATAAATAAATATTTTTAAAAAGTCGTTTAAAGTTTTACTTTCTTTAAATATTTATATAAATTAATTTATGCATTAAAATCATTTTAATTATTTATTTTTAATTTTTTAGAATGGACGTAATTATAAAGTAATATATATTAATACAACAAAAGTGAATGTATAATATCGAACGCCGGTAGCGCGCTTTGTGTCTAAGCAACACCAAAACAGAAATATTTCTCTGAAAAGACGATAATAAAATGCGACTTAAGAATGATTTACGTAAAATATAAGTTTGAATTGATTTATTATTAATTTTTTTATACTTTTATTACGAATTTACTCGAATTTATAAAAGAAAGTTTAGCCGCATCGATGCACTCGATCACTGTTTAGTATTGTTTCTTAACGATTTTTAACGAAGTAGCGAAGTGTAAGGTATAAACAGTCGAAGTTTCTTATACTTTACAATGTCCAGAATCGTACTAAATAGTTTCTAATTAATTATTTCTTGTTAGGAAATAGAAAAATATTATAGAAATCCAATAACAAACACAGTTTGCATGTAGCATCCAGTCAAACCAGACAGATACGTCTCTAGTTCGCAGGCGCTTGTCCCAGCTCTCCCGAACGTCCGCTATGAATGTATATGTAGAGGAGAAATAGTGGCGGCTCTTTCATTATACACCTTACTTACCTTCAGTGCGATCCTCATCGGCTCCAACAGAAAATGACAGATACGGAAGGCGCCACTACAGGTAATTCTGTACCACCGACACCAAAGAAAAGTAAAGGTAGAGCCAGAAAATCAAAAAATGCACAGAATCATCCTAAGATATCGGAGATGGTTATAGAAGCCATTACGGAGCTGAAAGAGCGTAATGGATCCTCTCTACAAGCAATTAAAAAATACGTCGGAGCGAATTTTAAAGTGGACGTCGAGAAACTCGCACCGTTTATTAAGAAATATTTGAAAACTGCAGTAGTTAATGGTGTCCTGATGCAGACAAAAGGTCACGGAGCTACCGGTTCTTTTAAATTGAGCGTATCCTTGATATCTCAAGATAAACCAAAAAGTCGGGAGGAACCCAAGAAGAAGAGTAAGAACGTTGTGGCTGCTAGCAAAAGGGGTGCCAAACCGAAAAAAATTGTTAAGAAAACGAAAGTAAAAGTGGAGAAGAAAGTCAAAAGTGCCAAAACTCCTAAGAAACCGAAAGCGAAACCCGTTTCTAAATCCAAAAAGAGTAAGGAATCCAAGAAGAAGAAATCCAAAAAGTGAGATTTATTTAAATTTTCTCACATTTGTGTAATATAATGGTGAGTTATATTGTGATGATTTTTAATAATTAAAAAAAAAAAAAACATTATTTAAGTTTTAACTCGTAAAAGTTTTTTAAACTTAATTCTGTGCGTTTATACTGTCAAACAGTAGAAAATAATGTAAATACATGTAAATATATTAATATGTAAAATGTGATAACGTGTAAATATATCTTTAGTGAAGCTAAAGTAACTTTTAGATAAATTTTATATAGAGACTTCTATATAAAATTTATCTAAATGTAACATCTACTGTTTAGTGATTCATATTTAATGTTTAATTTGCATTTTAAATGTTTTGTATGTAAAAAAAACTTCATTGATTTGTATTCAAATTAGTAAAAAATGTTGTCGAGAATGTTTTCTAAGAATAATGTGACAAATAAGGGTCCACCACGTGTCAAAATATAGAAATTTGTACTCGAAATCTATTAGTCATTAAAATAATGATAATAAACGATTTTATAAATAATTATTAAAGTTTTTGAGTAAATCAATTGTGTGACGTTTTAGGAAAAATGCTGTCAAATAAAATTCAATAATAATTTTACAGAAAATTCAGCAAATGGCTTTTTTTTTGTAAACTGTAAAAATGCTCCGAAAAGCAATGTCTCGTGTATAGTTTAAATTCAATTTTTTTTATATAAAAAATTTAGTAAATAAATATGCATATAAAAATATGTAAAATTAACAAGATAATTTAATAAAATTATTGACTTTAGTGAAGTCGAAATTTTTTTTTTTTTTTTAATTAATTTCATACTGCGCGTCGCGGCGCGAGTCGATTCAGCAGTGCGCGAGGTATTAATTACAAATCTATAAAAACATGCGCTTCTACTTTTAACAATAATTAATTACAATTTATTATTGTTAAAAGTAGAATCGCAGACGTTTTAAATACAGACATTTCAGGAAAGGGAAATTTATTAATATTGCTAGTAATATATTTAACGTGTAACGCGAATCGACGCGTCGCGTCATTTTACCCATGAACGATAAATGATGGTGAGGAACAATTACTGTTTAATTGCAGTAATTTGTAGTTGTATTCAGCCTTCGAGCTACTCGTGGCCGTCGATTATATCGTTACATTCTTATATCCGGTAGTAAAACAGGTTCTTTTAGAGTTGACTTAGTACATTTTAGCACAGATGTGTTTCCTCTAATACTTTACATTGACATCTACAAATGCCATCTTTAAACATNAAAAAAAAACTGTAAATGCTAGTAACAAGTAAAACTTTACTGGAGATACACACGACCCTCATTATCTCCCTACCCTCTCGACCTTTAACCACCAAAATTTAATGGCATTAATTCCCTTAATAAACAAATCTTCTTGCAAAATTTCAGAAATTTTCGACAAAAATCACAGGAGTTATTAAGCTTCAAAGAGGGTGAACAAATATCATACTAATATCCATATATACAGAAAAACCCCTGAATTTTTCTGCATTTCTTGACATTTGAATGTGTCCTAAGTCCAAAATGTAAAATTCTTGAGGGTCATTTTTTGACCGATCTCCATACTTTCCCTGTGTTATATATAACAACCGAGAAAGTAATATAAAAAGGTAAATAAATCCTATAATTTAATATATGCATTTATAATAATAAACGGAATTTAAAATTATTATTTTTATTTCCTGTTTTAATAAATATGTTATCATTAACAGTTTAATTTATTAAGACATTAATAAATTATTAATTAAAAAAGACTTTATTAATAATTATTTATGACATTCTGCAAGAGATAAAACAACAATAACTTAATTATTAAAATAAATTATGTAATTAATTAAATTAAATATATATAAAATCAAGATAAATATATTTTCAATGCATATTAATAAATATTTATTACATATAATATTAACTTTATAACAGCATTATACATTTAACATCATATATATATTATATAATAAATATTGTATAATATACTTGTATGAGTGTGTGTATGTATATATATATATATAAACATTAATGTCATTTAAGATATAAGAGTAATTTTAGAAATAAATTAATGATAATTATAAACAAATTATTCAAGCTTTTAATAAATAACTCATAAAACTATTTATTTTATTTTACACTTTTATAAATTAATTTTTTATTAATTATC